GCTGGCCAAGGTGGTCTGTGTGGCGGCAGGTTTCACGTGATGGCCGTGTGGACGAACGAGCGCTTGTTTGCTACTTCAGAATCGGGTTGCGTGAGAGTACGTGAGGGTAGGTTAGCAAGGGACCGTCGTGCTAATTTCGGTTGGGAAATGGTTCTCGCTATCGATCTTTAACCCTTTCTTGTCCGTTGCTCGAGTAGTTGCATGCGAAGGTGCATTGCAACGCATTATTCGGCGCTTCGGTTCAAGGTCAAGGTGGCAGTGGGACGCGGATGGGGGGGAGGGGGAGGGGGGAGACGAAAGCAAGGAAGAGGGATTTATTCCTGTATGTAAACAAAAATGGTTTTCCGAAATTATAAACAGATCGCGGTAGTTATGCAATCATCCGGTTATGATGCCTAGTCACAGATTTTTCATTATTCTTTTTAGTTACCTAAGCACTCGATCGGCGGCTGTTATCTCTGGCGTTGTTTAGGGTCTGATGATTCACAGATTTCGATTCTGATAGTTAACGTCGGTGGTGCAACGATTGCACGGGCGTGATTATCCGTTTAAGCCGCCGAAATTACCCAATAGATACCGACGCAATGCCTGCTAGGTGTGTTTATTTATACCTTGAATTATCACCGTTTCTTGTGATTTATTTGAAAAAAAAAAATAATAATTACAAATATCGGATGCGGGATGAAGCAATATTTGAGACGGTTTCGTTTTAACTCTTGCTCTTGAAAGTCCTCTTGTTGACCTCGAAGACAAAAGAGCGAGTGTTCGTTCTTGCGGTGCGTCTCCCGGAGGCTGGCATTGATTCGGAGAACTCTTGGGAAATGCCACCCCCTCTTTTTTCTGCTCTTGACGTCTGCGGGTCTTGGATTTATTGGGTATTGTGAAAGAAATTTAAATGTCCGAGTTATTGTTTTCGAGAAATACGATTGGTGTTAGAACGGTTGGTCTTTCCAGATACACACTAAAAAGACATCTCAGCTAAACTAAACTGATTTTTTTTTTATTGCGTGTTTGAGGTTAGGAGATAAGGGGGGGGGGTACAAGCATATATACAGTACATATACCGTAAGTAAATTCATCTTGCACAATTACGTAATTGTGTAAATGTGGGTTGTGATCTAAGATTTACACAAGCACGCCCATTCTTGGCATCGGTTCCTCCCGTACCGTACCCTCCCTGGCCGTGCCCCAGTACCCTCAGGGCCTCTCCCGGCACGCGCATGCCCATAACTCCTTCACGTGATTCAGCCCTTGAGATGACTCTAGCCCTAAAGATAACCCTAAAGCTAGTCCAATGCACGTGGCTTGGATCAGTATGTGATAGCGATAAGATATTTCTATATATAACGATTTTTATGTTCGATAAGATATTTGCGTACCGTGTGTGTTTTTTTTTTGCCCCGTCAGCCGAAACGTTACAAGGTTTGTGATGGATCGGTCTGTTTATACAGTTTATCGTTGTTTGGAGAAAACATATAGATTTACCGCAGTTAGTTTTAGATTGGGAAGATATATTTTTTTTAATTGCTGTCAACAAGAGCGAAGCACAATGCAAAGAGATTGGAGGAATAAGTAATTAAACACGAAAAAACGAAAGAAAAACAAGTAATTAAACAAAAAAAACTAGAGAGAGAGAGAGAGAAAGTAATTAAACACGAAAAAACCGAGAGACAAACAGGTAATTAAACACGAAAAAAACGAGAGAAAAACACAGGAGATGGGCAGCCAACTTCCCAAGCCAGTGCGACTGCGGCAGTCACGTGACCGGCGTAGGTATGACGTAACGCAGCGCGCGCTCCCGCCAGTGAGTCAGGGGTTATGCAAGCGTCCCAATGACTCTTATTAACAAGTAAAACTTATCCTTCGTCGGGAATATATCTCCAAGAAAAGAAGAAAAAAAAATAACGGAGGTGTTGTGTATATATTGGCGGAAGTGGTGGTCGTTTTTGTTCGGCCTTCACCGAGCCGAGAGGAAGATGGCGCGATGTTCACGTGAGAGAGCCGTGGCCGGACCGTGGGAGGGTAGGGGGGGGGATGCGAAGAGGGGGAGGAAGGGGGAGAGGGTGAAGGGATATGGGGAAAGAGGGAGAGAGAGAGAGAAGGGATAGGGGAAAGAGGGAGAGGGAGGAGAAGATGGAATGGGGGAGAGAGGGAGAGGGAGGAGAAGATGGAATGGGGGAGAGAGGGAGAGGGAGGAGAAGATGGAATGGGGGAGAGAGGGAGAGGGAGAAGAAATGGAGGAGAGGGGTAAAGGGAGAAAGAATGGTAGGGGGAAACGAAGGAGGAGAGGGAGAAAGAGGGAGAGGAATAAATGGGGGGAGAGGGAGAGGGAGAAGGAATGAAGGAGATAGAAGAAGAGGACGAAAGAATGGGGGAGGTAGAGGGAGCGGAAGAAGGAATTTTGGAGAGAGGAAGAGGGAGAAGGAAGATGGAGGGAGAGGGAGAGGTGGATCGGAACCTATGTCTGTTATCTTATCTTATCTTCTTCTTCTTCTTCTTCTTCTTCTTCTTCTTCTTTTCTTTTTCTTTCTTTTTTTATTACAGCGAACGCCGTCGTAGGCAGTTTCTCATCAGGCCTAAATTTTCCGGGAGTTTCCTTTGTGGAGCCGCTTGCGTAAATGTCCAGTTTTCGGAGTGAGAGACAAAGAGTGGGGGGTTTCGGGGGGGGGGGGGGAGAAAAATACCGTAGAGAAACATGAGATAATTCTTGAATGCTTTCGGTTATCTTCAGAGCGCAGGATGTCAAAGACCATACCGTTGTGCCTGTCTTCGTTCTGTTGACACTTGATGACAGTGCAACCATTATGCAAGAGGAAGCGCGGAAGTGAATTGTTTGGTCGCGGGCAAGGAAGAGGGAAAGGCGAAGGCCTGGCCTTGTTTAGTCTCGCTCTTTCTCGCTTTCTCTCTTTCCTGTTTTGCTTTCTCTCGTTTTCTATCTCTTTTTCTCGCTTTCTCTTTCCTTCTCTCTTTCTCTCGTCCCTTCTCGCCTCTCTCTTTCTCATTCCTTCTCTTTCTCTTTCCTTCCCTCTCCTTCTCTTTCTCTCTTTCTTTTTCCTTCTCTCTTTATCTTTCTATCTTTCTCTTTCCTTTTATCCTTCTCTCTTTCCTTTGCTCTCTTTCATTCATCTCTCTCTCTCTCTCTCTCTCTCTCTCTCTCTCTCTCTCTCTCTCTCTCTCTCTCTCTCTCTCTCTCTCTCTCTCTCTCTCTCTCTCTTTGTTTTCCTTCTCTCATCCTTACACCTTTGTTGTTTCCTCTCTCCATTTTCTCTCTCCTGTTTTATTTTCCCTCCCTCCCCTCCCCTCCCCTCGCCTCCCCCTTCCTCTCCCCTCTCCTCTCCCTTCCTCTCCCCTCTCCTCTCCCTTCCTCTCCCCTCTCCTCTCCCCTCTCTCCTCTCTCCCCACTTCCCTAACTCCCCTCTCTCTTTCCTCTCTTTCCTCTCCCCTCTCTCTTTCCTCTACCCTTTCCTCTTCCCTCCCTCCTTCCTCTTCCCTCCCTCCTTCCTCTCTTCCCGTCTCTCCCCTCTCTCTCTTCTCTTCCCCCTCCCCCTCTCCTCTCCTCTCTCCCCTCTCCCCCTTCCCCCCTCTCTATCTTCTCTCCCCCCTCCCCTCCCCTGCTCACGTGATCACATGAAAGTAAGGAAACTGGGCGAGTGCCAGGCGGAGAGGGCGTTTCAGGAGTGCGTAAGTGTGGGATTCTGAGGGGGGGGGGGGGGAGTGTCTCTAGCAAGTGGCATCCAAGTCTGCGGAGGAGGGAGGGAGAGGGGAGGGGGGAGTCTCTAGCAAGCGGTACCCATGTCTGGTGTTGGTGGTCTTAGGTCGGATGGCGCCCGGACGGATGTGATTATCAGGGGGATCTCTCTCTCTCTCTCTCTCTCTCTCTCTCTCTCTCTCTCTCTCTCTCTCTCTCTCTCTCTCTCTCTCTCTCTCTCTCTCTCTCTCTCCCCCTCTCTCCCTCTCTCCCTCTCTCCCTCTCTCTCCCTCTCCCTCCCTCCTTTTCTTTACCTCTTGTCTTTCTTCGACCATGTGTTTTCGAAAAGGAGATAAAGGAATGTTAAAGAGGAGAAGGGGATACGGAGAGAATTTGAATCTTTTGAGAAAGAGGCAGAAAAAGAAAGAGAAAGAGAAAGAAAAAGAGAGAAAGAGAAAAAAGGAGGGAGAAAAGGAGAGGAAGTAGGAGGAAATAGTTAACGATTTACTGTCATTGTGACATTCATTCTGTGGATATAAGCGTGCTTTGTTTTGTCAGGATAAGGATAAGCGTGACACCTTATCCCGTGCTATTGTATCTCATTACCTTGTCACGAGGAAGAGGCAGAAGGGTCAGTAAAAAAGAAAAGAAAAAATCGGTAAGCTGGGTAAGATATGCCAGGGAGAGGGAGTGAAGGAGG